AATGGAAAGACATCTTATATTCATGGATTAGAAGACTTAATATTAAAATGTCCATGATACTCAAAGCATCTATGAATTCGATCCAATCCTTATCAATCTAGTGGCATTTTTTGCAGAAATAGGAAAGAAATTCTAAAATTCATATTGCATCTCAAAGGACCTCAAATAGCCGAATCAGTCTTGAGAAGGGGAAAGCGGGAGTCTTCTTACTTCTTTATTTCAAAACATATTGCAGTTACAAATACTATGATAATCAAAACACTATGGTACTAGCATAAAGACAGACATACAGACTAATGGAACAGGATAGAGAATCCAGAAATAAACCCTCACATAGATGTCACATGGTCTTCAACAAAATTACCAAGCCTACACACTGGTTAAAGGATAGGCTGTTCAACAAATGAGATTAAGAAAACTGAATGTATGCAGAAGAATAAAATTGTACCTTTCACCATATATAAAAATTAACTCAATGGGGGATGGGACACAATTATAAAAGGGACTTTTCCTAAAAATGCAATCAGTATAACCTGGTTCTTTGTACCCTCAATGAACCCCCAAAAATAAAAAAATAATAAAATCTTTAAAAAATATCTTGAAATTAAAAAAAGAAATTAACTTAAAATAGAACCTAAATATAAGACCCAAAACTATAAAACTCCTAAAAGAAGACATCCGGGAAGAACATCAGGACATTGAATTTGGCAGTGATTTCTTAGCAAAAATGGACAAATGTGACTACGTCAAACTTTAAACCTAGTACACAGCAAAGGAAATCAACAAAGACAAAAGGACAACCTCCAAAATGGGAGAAATATTTGCAAACCATATGGTTGATACGGTTTAATACCCAGGGTATATGAAGAACTCCTACAATTAACAGCAAAAGACACTCCAATTAAAAATGATCAAAGGATTTTAGTAACTGTTTCCATCAAAATATATAATTGGTCGACAGGCATATGAAAAGATGTTCAACATCACTAATTATTAGAGAAATGTAAGTTAAAATCATGATGAGGTAGCACCTGGTGCCTATTAGGATGGCCACTATCAAAAAAGACCCAACAAATAACAGGGGTTGGCCAGGATGTGGAGAGACTGGAACTGTTTTATACTGTTGGATATATATTAATAAAATGGTAGTTGATATGGAAAACAATACAAAAGTTCTTCAGAAAATTAAAAGTAGAATTACCTTATTGCTCTGGTTAGTACTTCAGTAATACATTGAATGTAAGTAGTAAGAATGAGCACCCTTATCTTGTTCCAGATCTTAGAGGAAAGGCCATCACCTTTTCACCATTAAGTATATTAAGCTGTGGATTTGTCAACATAGTATTGGTCCTATCAGAGCATTTGGGTGTGAAAGAAAGAAAAGGCATCCGAATAGGAAAAGATGAAGTGAAATTGTTTTCTGATGACTTGATCTTACATAGAAAACCCTAAAAACCACCCCAAGAAACTGGTAGAACTGATTAATAAATTCAGTAAAGTGGCAGGATAAAAGTCAATATACAAAAATCAGTAGCCTTTCTGATATACTAACAGTGAATGATCTGGGAGAAAAATTAAGATAATTCTCATTTATAATAGCATAAAGATGCTTAAGAATAAATTTCATCAAGGAGGGAAAGATCTGTACACAGAAAAATATAAAACATTGGTGAAAGTTACTGAAGTCAACACAAATAAATTGGAAGATATATTCTGTGTTCACAGATTGGATGAATTAATATTGGTAAAATATCTGTGTATGTACAGATTCAGTGAAGTACATGTCAAAATTCCAATGTTTTTCTTCACAGAAATAGAAAAAGAATTCTAAATGTTGTATGGAACCACAATAGACCCTTAATAGCCAAAGTGATTTTGAGCAAAAAGAACAATGCTAGAGGTAGCAGTGTTTGATTTCAAAATGTATTACAAAGCTGCAGTAATCAAAAGAACATGGTACTGATCTAAAATCAGTCACATCAACCAATGGAATAGGATAGAGATCTCAGAAATAAAACCACACATTTATAGTCAATTGATTTTCAACTTAAGTGCTAAGAACACAAAACGAGGAAAGGAATGAACGATGGTGGAAACTGGATGTTCACATGCAAAAGAATTGGACAATTACCTCACCCCACGTACTGAATCAAATGAAAAATGGATTAAAGACTAAAACATAAGGCCTGAAACTGTAAAATAGCTAGTAGGAAACATAGAAGAAAAGTTCCACAACATTGGTCTGCACAGTGGTTTTGGGTATGGCCCTAAAACCATAAGGAACAAAAGAAAAGTAGACAGGTGAGATTGTATCAAACTAAAAAGCTTCTCCATAGCAAAGGAAACAATTAACAGAAGTGGAGAGACAACTCAAAGATTGGGAGAAAATATTTGAAAATCTTTCATCCAGTAAGAGGCTAATATCTATATATCTTTATCTATATTTGTATATATGGGACTCAGACTACTCAATATCAAGAAAAATACCCTATGTAAAAATACACAAAGAACCTAAGCAGACATTTATCAAAAAAAAGACCTACGAATAGTCAACAGATACATGAAAAAAATGCTCAATATCGCTGATTATGAGGGAAATGCACATTAAACCATAGTGAGATATCACCTCATGCCTGTGAGAATTGCTGTTATCAGAAGGATGAAGAATGTTAGTGAGGATGTGGAGAAAAGGGAACCCTTATACACTGCTAGTGGGAATGTAAATCAGAATCAGTGTGACGATTTTGAGAGATTCCTTTAAAACTCAAAATAGAACTATATGATCCCGCAGTCCTACTCTGGGTATCTATCCAAAGGGGATAGTATTTAACCTTAAAAAAAAGAAAGAAAACCTGTTATTTGCTATAACATTAATGAACTTAGAGGTCTTGATGCTAAGTCAGTCACAAAAAGACAAATACTGGGCTCGGCGCCTATAGCTCAACCGGCTAAGGCGCCAGCCACGTACACCTAAGGTGGCGGGTTCGAATCCCCAGCCCGGACCCGCCAAACAACAATGATGGCTGCAACCAAAAAAAAATACCCGGGCGTTGTGGCGGGCGCCTGTGGTCCCAGCTACTTGGGAGGCTGAGGCAGGAGACTCGCTTGAGCCCAGGAGTTGGAGGTTGCTATGAGCTGTGATGCCATGGCACTCTACCCAGGGGGATAGCTTGAGGCTCCGTCTCAAAAAAAAAAAAAGACAAATACTGCATAGTTTCATTTACATATCTAAAAGCAGAAATTAGAATGGTAGTTTCCAGGCACTGAACTGGGAGAAGTGTAAGAGGGAAGTTGCTGATCAATCAATAATAAAGTTTCAGTTTTGCAAGATGAAATTCTAGAGATGTGTTTCACAACCATGTGTATATAGTTTATGTTTCTGTACAGTGACAAAGGATTAAGATGGTAAATTCTGTTAGTGTGTTTTTGATCACAAAAAAAGTTAGCATGGCAATTACAAAAAAAAAAACGATACAGAGAAAAAAATCCTGAATCTATTTTTTAAAGCAAGACTCTTAAGAAGTTACCATGATTAAAATTTGTTTCAGTTTGTAAAGTATTTACAATGAAATTGCTAAAATTTAAAAGTACAAAGTTGTCTCTAAATCACTCAATGGTATATCCACAAAATGTAGAGAATTCCTAAGCCCCCTTTCACACACACATGCACACACCTTTCATTGTTGTACTTGTGTGTCTTTCCCTCTAAAAGAAGAATATTGGAAAATGTGAGCTCTGACTACGAATAGTTCAAAACATCATAGCCCTAATTGTAGGGGGAAGATCAGTTACTTTATTTCACTACAACTTTTAATTTTCCTTCTGAGAAAACTTTGGACAAATAAAGAGTTCCCTGGTAGTTTTTATCTATTTGCTTTCGTGGTTCTTTTCTTTTTTTTGGCCGGAGCTGGGTCTGAACCCGCCACCTCCGGCATATGGGGCTGGCGCCCTACTCCTTTGAGCCGTAGGCGCTGCCCTGCTTTTGTGGATTTTGACAAGTCACTGGAAGAGGGGTGTGGTGGCAGAATCTGCCAACATATGGGTCTATAGATCAATAACCTTGCTTTAGGGAGGTCCTTAAATTTATTGCTTGAGAAAAAAATCAGTCAGATCTGAAGAAGAAATTTAGATTTATATAATATTCTTATCAAAGAAAATGGAAATAAAGTTTGTTTTTCCATATGTAACTATAATTTTTATTTCTTAACAATTATCTAACATGCTAAGACTGTAGAAAACTTAAAATTAAAGATTAGTTAAACTAAAATAGTTGTCTGATGCTTAGATTTTGTTTTTTAATTTAATCTCTCTTGATGAGCTACCGTAAAACAAGTCTTAAATGTTTAGGATCAGTACCAAGTAATGCTCCGGATTTTAGTAGCTATAAATATACCAACTTTCATAGCTGTAGAAAGAGTATCTTATTTCATGTAATTTATATAATTTATTTGGAGAAATAGAAAAAAAGATTAAGGACTACTGAATGTCTTGTTAACCTGGCTTTAAAAGGAAGGTACTTTTTTAAATCTATCATTTTATACTTTTAAGAAAACATTGAAAATTGAATTCATGTGCTGATTTAGTATAAAATTCTACACCGTTGTTATTGAAGAGACAGATCCAGAATATACTCACGTTTTGTGTGTTCTCAAAAGAAAATATTTTATATGCCTCCTACTTTCAGTAATGGCTATATAATATTCTCTAAGGTAGGGCCACACCATCTCCTTTCTCCTTCTAAAAAACAGCATGATTATGAGTCCTGATAAAAGCTTTAGTGACAGGCAGCGCCTGTGGCTTAAAGGAGTAGAGCACTGGCCCCATATGCCGGAGGTAGCGGGTTCAAACCCTGCCCTGGCCAAAAACTGCGAAAAAAATAAAAACCAAAAAAAAAAGCTTTAGTGACTTGAATGAACTGAAGGAGGAAAGAGAAATTTCTGTTGCAGAAGCTAAAAATGAGCTTGTTATTGGTTTTTTTCCTTCCAGATTTTGTACTTCAGCTGCTGATATGAAAATTAGGTTATTTACTTCAGATCTTCAGGATAAAAATGAATATAAGGTATGTTTACAGGATAATTTATAAATCTTCAGAGTATTTTAAAACATGTATTTATTAGTTTTTGCTTTTTTTAATTGAATTTATCCTGATTTAAAGTGACTTTTTATGGCCATCACAAAAATAATGTAATTTAGGATCTCATTTGTTTTATTGTAGACTATAGTAATTCAGTTCTTAGCAATGACTACAGATTATAAATCTGATACCACTTATTAAATCAAAATATTAAGTTGGAACAGCAAATAAGAGAGAATAGAAATTCACAGTTAGGGGCCAGCTAAGGTGGTGGCCTCTAATCCTAGCATTTTGGGAGGCCAAGACAGTAGAATCCTTTGGGCTCAGGAGTTCAAGGCTAACCTGAGCAAGGGCAAGACCCTATCTCTACTAAAAATGGAAAAATTAGCCAGGACTTGTAGTGGTCACCTATAGTCCCAATTGCTCTGTGGCAGAAGGATCACTTGACCTAGGAGTTTAAGGTTGCTGTGAGCTAGGCTCACAGTGAGACTCTGTCTCGGGAAAAAAAAAAAAGAAGAAGAAATTCCCAGTTAGATATAGTAGGAGCATAATAGACATGCACGCATAAGGAGTAAAAACTGAAATTCAAGGGTGAAAATGATCTACAGCATAGCACAAACAAAGAAGTCATACCTCTTGATCTTGCTCAGCACCATTGCTTAATAATGGTGTGACCATAACCAAGTAAGCTAATCTCTTTGTGTTGATTTCCTTACCTATAAAATGGATAATTATGACACCTGCCTCATAGATTATTAGCACTGACTGAGCTAATTCATATAAAACACTTACATGGGTGCCCAACCTGCAGGTTGCATGCTGATTTTGTGAGGACTTTTCTGCTTATCTGTGGTGTCACATATCACTAAAAGTATACACAAACTGTTTTTTAACTAATTAGCATTTGTTAGTGTTTGTGTATTTAATGTATGGCTCAAGGCAACTCTTATTCTTCCAATGTGTGACAGAGAAGAAAAAAGGGTTGGATACCCCACGTTAGAACACTGGTCATAGTATATTCTGTATGTGTATAGGCCTCAGGTTGGTTTGAAATTGCATTGTATTTTCTTATAAGAATGCTATTGCCTTCTTGACTTTCTAATAAATGAAAAATACAATTTGATAAAACAAAAATAAACTCTAAACCTTTTTAGGCATTTAGAAAATAGTAAAAACTGCTCTAAGGTGTCTAAGCTATATACACTAGGTTTGATGTAATTAAGGCATGAATAACCAAGTATGTAAATGTCACCTAAAATTTTGACCTTTCAAAACTTAAGTTATAATAGACATTAAATATTTTGTTAATGTTAACTTAATGGCAGACGCTTTGGAGAATGATTTTTAAAGGACCTGAGTTTGTTAAATTACATAGGAATGAACTAAATCCACTTCTTTTTTTAATATTACGTTTCTACATAGTGAGAAGTACCATATAGACTCACTTTATTAACCTCAAAACTAAGTTTTTGGAAGAAAGGAAGGGAGAGAGGGAAGAGCAATATCCATGTGACAGGCCTATTTAGGATTTCAACTATAAAGATTTAGACCAGCAGTTCTCACCTATGGGTCGTGACCCCTTTGTAACAATGAAAATACATCCTGCATATTAGATATTTTAAGATTCATGGCTCGGCGCCTATAGCTCAACGGGCTAAGGCGCCAGCCACGTACACCTAAGGTGGCGGGTTCGAATCCCCAGCCCGGACCCGCCAAACAACAATGACGGCTGCAACCAAAAAATAGCCGGGCGTTGTGGCGGGCGCCTGTGGTCCCAGCTACTTGGGAGGCGGAGGCAGGAGACTCGCTTGAGCCCAGGAGTTGGAGGTTGCTGTGAGCTGTAATGCCACGGCACTCTACCCAGGGGGACAGCTTGAGGCTCTGTCTCAAAAAAAAAAAAAAAAAAAAAGATTCATAACAGTAGCAAAATTACAGTAAGAAAGAACAAAAAAAAAAAAATTATGGTTGGGGGTCACCACAACAAGAGAAACAGTATTAAAGGGTTGCAGCATTAGGAAGGTTGAGAACCACTGATTTAGACAAATTGAACTTTGCCTACTCACATAGTTTTCCACTGTAGAACTTCTCATTTGTTCTGTGTTCAGAAGAGTATTTTTGTGTTGTCTGTGACTATGGGTTCTGTCCTGACAGTGACTAGCTGTCTCTAGCAGTGATGGTCACATTGAACAAGTGAGGAAAGGAGGTGAAGCCCACCCTGTGTGTGTGTGTTAAGTAGTAGTGAGTATGCACAGTGGCAAGGATAAGGTAAAAAGTCTAGATGCATTCTATTCAGTACTCCTAAAATGTTTTCTAGCTTCAGTTTTTATTTAAGTTTTATGTAATAAGTAAGAAAGGAGGTGATATGAGGATAGGTACGGTTAAAAAAAAAAGTGTGTTTTTGTAAGAAATGCATACTAGAAAAGAAAGACTAAGCTAATAGCAGTGTGTTGAATGATCAACTTCTTTCCAAGATAAACCTTCCAGAAAAAGTGGGTGTATAAATCATGCTTTAAAAATAGCAGATTGCTTAAGAAATATTTATAGAAAAGAAGCATGCAGCAAAAGCTCTTAAGGCAGTGAAGTAAAAATATTATGTAGGAATCTTATAATTATTTTCCTGTTTTCTTACTAATTTTTCTTCTTCTGTCAGACTTTAGAGGGCCATTCAGATTTCATTAATGGTTTGGTGTTTGATCCCAAAGGTGGCCAAGAAATTGCAAGTGTGAGTGATGATCATACCTGCAGGTATGTTGCTTATTTCACAAAACCCTTTTTTTGAATTTTCATTTTTTTCAATGAGAATTGCATTTTTTCAGTTAAAGAAAATAATAACTTTTATATAAGTCCCACAAAATGTTCCACAAAAAGAAGCATTCTTTATTTAAATTATCGATATGACACAAATATGAGTTTCAAAACCAGTGAGTTGAGCTCTCGTCTCATTTAATGGAAACTTCCCTCACTGATTTATGGATGTCTTCTTTGCCTTTTATTTAGACTTGCACATTTATGAAATCTAAATCTATATTGGATCACATTCTCCACTGTTGGACACAATCAGTCGGGTAATAAAAGGCAGATGCCATATTATGAAGTTACTTTACAGATCCTATGCGATAAGCTAGTGTTTAATAATGAACTGTGAATCTTATCTGCTACATAAAACTCACGGAAAAATTTGGTGTTTTGACAAGTTCTGCAGTTTCCACTTGAGGTTTTCAATAGACACAATATATTTTAGTATCATGTTCTTCTGCCCCACACCCCTAGTTGAGAACAGAGGAGGTAGCTATAAAATGTTAATAATGCCTAAACCTGGAAAATATCACAAGTAAAGAACAAGATGAATGGGCGGCGCCTGTGGCTCAAAAGGTAGGGCGCTGGCCCCGTATGCCAGAGATGGTGGGTGCAAATCCAGCCCTGGCCAAAAAAAAAAAAAAAAAAAAAGAACAAGATGAAAAGCAAGAGTAGCAGGTGGAAATAAGCTGATGATTCAGGAAGGGAATGAGTGAATCAGTCATTAAAGGGGTGTAAGTTGCTTCATTTGCTTTAACAGTACCATGAACAAAGAAAAAATGTTGCACAACTATTTTGCATGGTTTTAATGTTGGATAAAGCTATGTGAAAATCATTAGCATTTATTAATACTTACATACAGACCACATATAGAGCCATTAAGTATGTATCACTTCACATTCAAAGTAAAGCTGCTAGCTACTTCTTAAATTTTTAATCTTCTTAATGTAGCTCATCTTTTTTAAAGTTACAGAGTCACAGGGTGTGATTCTTTATGTACTGCCTATTAAAATTTTCATATCAACAGACATGAAAGATTATCAAGCCATTAAGATTCCAGGGCCCCAGGTATTACAAAACTAAGTTTGTGTAGCAGCCTGAAGAGTAAATGGGATCATTTTTAAGGTAAAAATTAGATCATTAGAAACAAATGATGGCATTTAGGTTCTTTAAAACATGGACTTTACTAATCACGTAAGCATTTGGAGTAATGAAACCTGCACAAGGGGAAAGCAAATGTCCTTGCAAGCTAAAAAATACCTTCTGAATAGTGAACTACAGCCAGAGTGACCTAGGATTACACTACATAGTCTGTGGGTTTTTTTCTTATGGTAGACTTTGAGAGTTTGTTATAGATTAGTAAAATTCTCCAAAACTTTTGGAAACTGGCATAGGGTTGCCAACTTTTTATTTTGTCAAGTATAAGAATCTTAAAAGTTTACCACTTCTACCACTATCATCATTTTATAAAAAAAAAAAAAAAAGACTTTATTCTAAAAAGTAGAGAGGGCTTAACTTTAAAGTCTTTTAATTTAAATTTAACTTCTTGAAAAATTCACTGCATTGCTCCTGAGTGTCTTATTTTGTTAAAATTGATGGTTTATAGTATTTTTTTTTTTTTTGGTAGTTTTTGGCCGGATCTGGGTTTGAACCCGCCACCTCTGGGGTATGCGACCGATGTCCTACCCTTTTGAGCCAAAGGTGCCACCCTTAGTTGATAGTATTCTTGTTCAGCAAATATTTGCTCTTCTAGTTAGGAGAGCTAGTTAGCTACTGATCTCAGAATGAGAAACACATGGAACAGATATGAACCCCTCTGGCATTGTGAAATGGAACTTCCCATAGACCCATGAGGAATACATTTATGCTATTTCTGTAAGCCATTGAGATTTGGGGGTAGATGTATAAGATCATTGTAGCAATACTTAAGGAGATAAATTTTGAAATTCATTAGCTTAGTTTACCAACCATAAATAAGCAATAACTCTGGCTATTAAAACCAAACCTCTTAGGCCGAAAGGTAAACAATATACATAAGATTTTAAGAACAAATGAAAACAGAAGATACAAGTAAAACAAGTTTCAGGTAAGGAGGAATAGTGATTTTATATACTCTCACAACAAGAAAAGAAAGAATTTTGAAAGAACGGACTACAATAGAAATATATTTTTGTACAACCACCTTCATTAACTTGAAAGATAGAATTGCCAAGCTAAAAATAGATACCAGCCAAACGGCAACTATCAGATTTAGGTAGAGGAAAGAGCTATTTATATCCCCAAAATGACACTTATCACTATACTAAAGTAACACCAACCATAGACTAGGTTTACATGTTGGGGGTAAAAGTACATTAATGAAATTCTACTCAAAGCCTATGTCATCTTGGGAATAGTTTTATATGCATGTGAAGCCATACTTTAAAAAGAATGCTAAATAGAATATATAGAAGATAAATAAGGAAATAGAGAACTAGAACAACATTATAAATCAGCTATACTTAACAAACATAAAACACTCCAAACATTAGCATAATATGTGTTCTTCACAAATACGCATGGAACATTCTCCACAATAAACCATATGTTAGCCCTCAAAATAATTCTCAATAAATTTTTAAAAATTAAAATCTTGGCTCGGCGCCTGTGGCTCAAGTGGCTAAGGCGCCAGCCATGTACACCTAAGGTGGTGGGTTCAAATCCAGCCTGGGCCTGCCAAACAACAGTGATGGCTGCAACCAAAAACAGCCGGGCGTTATGGAGGGCGACTGTGGTCCCAGCTATTTGGGAGGCGGAGGCGAGAGACTCGCTTGAGCCCAGGAGTTGGAGGTTGCTGTGAGCTGTGATGCCATGGCACTCTACCCAGGGGGACAGCTTGAGGCTCCGTCTCAAAAAAAAAAAAAAAAAAAAACTTAAATCTTACAGAGTATCTTTTTGGACTTTAGTGAAGTGAAACTAGAAACACTAGAAAATCTACAAATACAGGCTGTCTTTGAGTTACGAATGAGATAGTTTCTGTAGCTTAAGTTGAATTTGTATGTAAGTTGGAACAAGTATCATTTACCTATTACATATAATAGCCTGCATTTATAAGTCAGATTTTTGTAATTTGGAGACTCACTGAAATAGCCTCCATTGGTAACTGTGAGTTGTACGTCAACTGGATATTTGTAACTCGGGTCTGCCTGTATGAAGAAATTAAGTATTGTTCTCTCTAAGAGCCAGTGAGTCAAAGAATTCATGAGAGAAATTAGAAAATACTTTGTGATGAATAAGAACAAAACAATATACAAAATTCATGGAATGTAGCAAAAGCAATGCTATGAGAGAAAATTGTAGCTATCATATGTGTATCTACATTTGAAGTCCCAAATCAGTAACCTAACTTTATACCTCAAGAAACAAACAAACAAAAAAAAGAGTAAACTAAACCCAAATCTAGCAAAAGGAAGAAAATAACAAAGATTACAGGAGATAAAGCAGAGAATAAAAAAAAGAAACTCAATGAAACCAAAAGTTGATCCTTTGAAAGGTCAACAGAATTAACAAAGCCTTTAGTTAAACAAAAGAGGGGAAAAAACAGAATACTACAACTACTGAAATCTAAAAATGTGCAAACATTACCAGCCTTAGGAAATGAAAAGGATTCTGCTATACTATGAACAGTTATACACCAACAAATTAGATAATCTAAATGAAATGGACAAATTACTGGATACACAAAAACCGAAGCAAGAAAAATAGGAAAATCTTAATAGACTTATAACATGTCAAGAGATGGAATCAGTAATCAGAAACCTCCCAACAAAGAGTACCCAGGACAAGTTGCTTCATTGGTGAATTCTACCAAACATTTAAAGAAGAATCACACCAATCTTTCTCAAACAATTCTGAAACATGGAAGAGGAGGGAATACTTTTTAACTGATTTTATGAAGCCAGTATTATCCTATTACTAAAGCCAAACAGAGACATCACAAGAAAAGAAAACTTCAAACATCTCTTAAAAACATAGATTCAAAAGTCCTCATCAGCATCTAGCTAGATGTCTGGAAAACTCTTAGAAGAAAACCTAAGGTCAAATGTTCATGACTTTGAGTTTGGCAGTTGTCTTAGATATGACACCAAAAGCACAAATAGCAACAGAACAAACAAACTGGACTCATCATAAAGACACTTGCACTAGACTATTTATGGCAGCTCAATTTACAATCACCAGAATGTGGAAATACCTTAAATACCCCCCAATCTAGGAATGGATTAACAAGCTGTGGTTTATGTATACAATGGAATACTATTCAGCCATTAAAAGAAATGGAGACTTTTTTAGCCTTTGTATTGTACCTGGATGGAAGTGGAACACCTTATCCTTAGTAAAGCATTACAAGAATGGAGAAACAAGAATCCTATGTATTCAATTTTGATATGAGGACAATTACTGACATGGTGGGGGAAGCTGAGACCAGAGAGAGAGAAGGGGGAGGGGATGGGGAAAGGAAGAACAGAGAGAGGGAAGGAGGGAGGGGGGTGAGGTCTCCGTGTGTGACCCACCTTTGGGGGCAAGGCACAATTGTAAGAGGGACTTTACCTAACAAATGCAATCAGTGTAACTTGTTTTCTTGTACCCTCAATGAATCCCCAACAATTAAAAAACAAAAAATTGGATTTTAAAAACTTGTAGCTATCAAAGGACACAATCAATAGAGTAAAAAGATAACTCACAAATGGGAGAAAATATAAATCATATATCTCATAAGAGTCTTATGTCTAGAATGTGTGAACTCTTTTATAACTCAACAACAGAAAGACAGCCCAGTTACAAAATGGGCAAAGGATTTGAATAGACAGTTCTACAGAGAAGATACAAGTGGGAAAAAAGCACATGAAAAGAAGCTGACTGTCATTAGAGTAAATCAGACCCACAATGAGACATCACTTCACACTCACTGC